TAAGCTATATATTATTGTAAAGTTTCATATGTTCAGTAATTTTTGTGTAAAAGAGTAACAAACATTCATCCATACTGGGAGTGTATGGATGAATGTTTGTTACTCTTTTACTCAAAAATCATCAATCAAACTTCCGCGCATATAATATAAGTAAGATATACTACACACCTACTTGTAAAAGGTAGCGGTATGACCAATATTATTTATTACCTATCTACATAATCTACCTAAGTAATTGAGTTAATAATTTAATAATACAACGGATTCCGAAAATTGTTGTTAAGATACTCCATTTCAAAAGTGGGTTACTTCAAAGTTAATCAGGTAAATTGGCGAAAAAATTCAAATTTCCTTTTACACAAAAATTCGTCTTCATTAACCGAATTTTATTTTCGTCCTTGTTTGCGTGCTAAATATTAAAAGAATGACAATTTATATTTCGCATTTTCATGAAACAATGTTATAGCTTGCGTTGTTAAAGAAAAAAAAAAGAAAATAGAAGAGTGTAAAAATATAACAATGTTTTCATCGGTAGCCAAAGAGGCTATTCTTTTAATTTTTCAACTTCGTCATATTAATTTTTAAATTGTCCTTAAAGCTTTAAAACAGTTTGTTGATGTATTTTATATTTATATGAGAGAGAAAGAGAGATACGGAATAGAAACACATAAAGCTAATAACAAATATATAGAACTATTGTTTAATGTCAAAAAAATATTTTTTTATTATAAATGGGTTTCCGTTTGGTCTTCATCTGGTGGAAAATGATGGCAGACCTAGGATGTAGCGCGCTTACCCAGAAAAAATCTATACCGTTGACTTGAAGAATCCGAGGTATTGTTTCGACAGGAACACGAAAGCTGGAAGTGTGTTTCACACTATTTATTAGTGCGCATTAGAAAATTACGACGCGTCAACCAAATCAAAGAATCATATCATGCATGTTGTATACATGAATACATTTTTTAATTAGTTATATACGCAACCTGAAGTAAAAGTAAACTATTATACTTAGAAAGATTAAACTATATATATATCTATAGTTCTATAACTGGGGCACTGTGATTTACCAGTATGTAATTTATTTGTTATGTAGAATGTAAAATTTTTTATTACATAATACTCGAATGATTTAGTTAACAGTTTAGATATAACACTTATATATTATACTTGTAATAATAAAGTTCTTTTTCATTTGTTTTATAAAATACTAACTACTCGCCCTGGCTTCGCACGGGTATACATGTACTATATATATAAACCTTCCCCTTTAATCACTCTATCTATTAAAAAAAATCGTTTCAAAATCTGTTGCATGCCACCTGGTGGTTTGAGGGAGGCTAAGCTCATTCTATTAAACATATACCACTTATAGACACTTAATTGGAAGTAAAATAAGGGATTACTAAATTTCATTACAATTATTGGATTATCATTTACAATATTAAAAATGTAAAACCAGTATAACCAGAACTTTCTTTGTAAAACCCGTATCTACGAAACACGAGACTTCTAAGATGTTTTCAGTTGTATTTCCAAACAAAAGATAAGAAGTGATGTCAAGCACGAAATTAAAGATATAATTTTATAACTAAGTAAAAACAATTAGGAATGAAGGGAATTGAATTATTATAACATTTAATAATGACTATAAACTTAATTTATAGCTGATAATTTATGGAATTACTGAGTACGAGCATCATGCCACTCAATTAAATGCGACGATTCCTATACACCATCAGGTAGGCCATCAGTATGTTTGCCTCCATTACAGAAAAAAATGTTTTAATTTATGTTAGCAAGACTGTTAGTTATAGTTAGTATCCACTAAAAAAAATTAAGAAAAAAAAAGGTGTAACGCAGGTAAAAAATGCGATTATAAATTATAATAAATTAGTGACATACATTTTATTGAAGTAAGTTGACAATAAAATTTTAAATTGTCTTCTAAATTGATTTAATTGATCTTGTGACCGACATTTAGCAATTATATAAAACAACCTCCATTCTCGAGGTTTAATATTATATATAGGGGTATATATATATATATATATATAGGGAGATGAAATGTGTTTTCCACGTACGGAATCGTGTTTACGTTGGAGCGCGCTCTGGCAGCTTTTTCCGGCGTGAGAGGAGCCTATTGTAGTCCTAACGACGTTGGGGGAGTACCATGGCTTCCTGAGAACTTTAAATGAATAACACTTATATAAAAGTCAATACTATGAATAATATACCAATAATTATTTATTTTAGTATAATTTTACAATATTGATGGATATAATTAAACATATTAAAATATTTTAGACACTAATTATAATCAAATATACCATCAGGTGGATAGTAAATTACAATTGTTACTACAATATCCACATTGAATATATTATAGTTCACTATTTTGTATATTATTTATTATAATAGCGTACACACGCAGACTTCTTTTAGAAATGTTTTAAAGAGTTTATCTTAAATAATTAAAAAAAAAGTCAAAATCAAGTCAAAGTCGAAGTAACGTAAAAAGTAAAAATCAATCCATCATACGTTATTGTAGTTTAACTAAAACAGCGCACGCCAGAACGCTATTACTATATTTGATTCGATTTACACTATAATGTCTTTTTTAAATTATTTTGACATAAAAGGTTCGCTATAGTATATTATTATGAAGTTTCCCTAAAATCCATTTAGTAGGTTTGCATGAAAGAGCAACAAACATCCATTCAAACATCCTTCAACCTAAATAAACTTTCACGTCTATAATATTTGCAGGACTAATTACAAACAGGAAATGCACTTCAAATTGGAATATGCATACAGTCCACGTACGTTATGATTAACGGCATAGAAATGAAAATGGCGAACTATTTCTAGTATGTTGTAATAGTATGGCTATTACTATAGGGATTTGAAGCTTTTATACGACGTGCCGCTTGCAGGCAAATATGAATTTTCATTTGCTAGGTGTTTCAATATTTGGATTCACTAATAAGTTCCGCAAATTCTGAAACAGGTTTTATTCAAAACTAGCTGAACACGCAACTTCGTGTACATGTAACTTTATTGTTTATTAGCCGTACCCGGGACTTCGTCCGCATGGACTTTAACTTTTTTTTAAAATAAAAGTAGCCTAAGTTACTCCTTATTACATTAGCTACCTGCCAAAAAAGTCCCGTCAAAATCGGTCCAGCCATTCCAGAGATTATCCGGAATAAACAGATGGACAGACAGACAGATAAAAATGATAAAAAATGTTATTTTGGTGTATGTGCCGTATTTATATTCATGTGCATGTAGTAAAAAACGATTATTTCAATATTACAAATAGACACACCAATTTTATTTATATGTATAGATGTATAGATAAAATGAATGGAGCAATTTTAGTACCTACAGTTTACCATAATACATTAGTGAAAACCGTACCCAAATTGGTTTAGTTATAGTTGAAATTAGCGGGCACAAACTCACAGACAAATAGATCTAATGTAAACTGATAATAATTGTTACATGTAAAAATCATACGTTTATAAAATTCCTCATTATAGATTTCATCATAAAACATATTCTGCTTATATACGTCTACACGTCTTATATTCTGAGGTATGAATATTAGCTATCAGTTAATTTCATACTCTACTTTGGTACCCAAGTGGTAAGAAACAAACGAACGAACGAACATATTTATAATATTAGCAATAATTTGGAATCTACTAAACAAATGCCAATCTTTATAAAAAGTTGTCTACGTGTGTGCCTACAGTCTCTCCTATAGCATTTCAGCCATTAAACAGCTTGCTTTGTAAGCTGTGTTTTGGTTAAAGGGTGGAAGTATATCATATGCCAACGATTGATAGGTATCACGGACGTCACAATGATAACATGATGTACGTGGTGCATATTATTTTCTTAATTTAGAATAATATTGAAGTAATTAGTGTAGAGGCAGTCCTCGTACGGCATGTTAGGTTCTCAAAATACGCGACGTAAATCGAAACGACGTAAGTCGAGGACTGCCTGTATTTATATGCGTATTGAAAATATCGGGCAGCAAATATATATTTAATTATTTAAAAAAATGTATATTAATATAATTGAACAGCCTCGGTGGTCTAGTGGTTTAGCACACCGCTTTATTATCCGACGGTCGTGGGTTCCATTCCTCGCACGGTACAAATATTTGTATTCATGAGTATGATTGTTTGTATCGGTTTGGGTGTTTTCTATGTATAGTATGTATTTATTTACAAAAAAAATGTATCCATGTATTTATATCAGTTGTCTAGTACCCATAACACAAGCTCTGCTTTAGTTTGGGACTAGATGACGCTGTGTGAATTGTCCTGAAATATTATTATTATTACAATAATTAATAAATATGTACCATATTTAATGAACTTACTATGATGTCATCTTTCGCGACAATTGTGAAAGAATGAACTTAAGTTTTAAAAATATATATTACTATTAAGTAATAATATTTAATAGTGCACGAAAATAGTAAAAATACATGATTTGTCAAATGTATCATTAATATATATGTAAGCATCTATTTTATGCATAAAAGTGAAACATTTATAATATGTAATATTTTTATAGACTCGAGAGAGCTATGCAATTGAAACTTGTACGAACAGAAAACAAACGATTATTGAAGCCTGGAGGTTTATTACTTTTATAATAATGTACCCATATATACAGAGAAAATACAAACCGATTCGTAAAAAAATATACCTAATATGTACTATACCTAATGTTTATTTTAATGTTAGTAATATTCTAAACAGAATAAAGTTTGATTTTTTATATGTTTGTTAGTTTGTAATATACTTATATCATAACACTAGAAATACTTGATAGATTTTAAATATTTCTTCACCTAAAGGTATAATATCACCATACAACATAGTTGTAATCAATGTGGATATAGCCATGGGTTATACAGACCGCGAAAATAAAATAAAATTTCTTAAATGAAAAAATAAAGGCCTTGTTACACTAACCTGGCGAGCGCAACTGCATCAAGCGCTTGCGGTTGTCGCGCATCTATGACGATAACATGCGGCAGTCGCGTGTCCACGTCGCGTCGGAGGATGTCGAGGGTTTCTCGTAACCCTCGGACAGTACGTGTATCTCCACCCACTCGAGATGCCGCTGCTGAAGCCGCAGCGCAAACGCGCGACGTTCGTTCCGGAAACACGCATAGTAACTGTAAAAAAAAGTTTCATTAAAACCATTATGTTTCAATTAATATAATAAATAACACTTTATAAATACATTAACCACAAAGAACCATATTTTTAAATCTATACATATAGTATTATAAAGAGAGACAGTATTATGTTATGCGGAAAGACAACTCAACCAACCACAGCGTCTATTTGAGAAAGTCTTTTAAAGTAGCAGTATAATATAATTATAATGTACATGATAATAAATTTTTTTTTATTTGAAATAGGTTTAGAAAAAATATTAGCTTCCATTAATACATATTTAACTCCATTAAACTCACATATTTTACTCTATTTCCACTTCAGGTATTACTTTTATCACAGAAGGTCTGAAATAACCTGTCTCTGTCGTAAAAATTAAGTTACTCTTTTTGCTTCCCTATTGGTATTTTCTAGACATAAAATAATTTCGTACTAGTAACATCTTTGTCATATTATCATTCTCTTATATATTCAGGGAGCCTTGAAACAAATGCTTTCAGTAATATGGCCGCTTTATCGTATATAATGCATCTGCATTAATTTAATATACAAATGTCTTATTATATTTAACTGTACAATGCAAATAAACCCATATTCTATCTATCTAATTTTATTTACAGTATTTCGTAATGCCTGTAGACAGAAAATGTTTGGTGGAAATGCTTTATAAAAGTGTAGTTAGCAACACGTTGAAGATTACCATGTAAATATGCTTTACATCGGCGTGTTATCGAAATTGAGTTTGCGATAAATTCAATTTCGTTGGGATGTACGTGAGTCAGGTTACTAGGACCTTCAGGAGGCTCTGGCGGAATAAAAATAGATGTCTTATAATGGCGTACTTAGTACATTTGTTTTCGCGTAATTTTAAGGTCATGTGTTTATTGGTTTATAAGATGTGTTTATATATTTACACACATACATCATCTGCATAAACTTTCATTATAATAAATTTTTCTATCTGAAGATTATATATTATGGGTATATAATTGATAATGTACCGCTCACATGAATCTATATATGCCTCTGGTTGATATTTAATATAATACCTTAGTATTTAAGTTCGCCATGTGCACCTTTCTGTATTTATGCATTAAAGTTTTAATAAATAAATAAATTATATAGTCTATGTCCATTCTCGTGGTACAGTCTATGTTTATATCAAATTTTATTACGATCTGTTCAACCGTATTGCCGTGAGAATGTAACAAACCGAGGGGCAGACACACTTTGGAATTTATAATATTAGGTATGAATATTGATCTGTTCTTTATTTACATAAGTCTAGTCTATAAATATACAATTCTGTATAAGAATTTCATAAACAACGTGACTGAGGTAAGAAGAGATTTCTGAAAATTCTTATGAAATACGGAAATATGTAACATCGGCGAGGAGTCATACAGGTAGTATTCTTATGTACACTGTGTAGTTAAAACTAGTAAAAAAATAGTTCTACTTATTATTCTTATTATGATAATATACCTAAGAAGTCCCAGTTGAAATTGAACTGAAATAACTATACGATTTATATGTTTACACCTACCTGTTTATATATACTGTTTATTCATACCCAAATTGTGTATCTATGTAATAATGATAATACCTCGGGACAATTCACACAGCGCCACTTAGTCCCAAGCTAAGTAGAGCTTGCATTATGGGTACTAGACAACAGATACAAATGCATACATTCATTTTGTTGTAAATATATACATAACATATATAGAAAACACCCAGACTGATACAAACAATCATACTAATAAAAACAATTGTTTGTTCCATGTATCGAGGAATCGAACCCGCGGTCATCGGAAAAGTAAAACTAAACCGCTAGGCATTAAGATCGTCAAATATGTTTATGATCAAATATATTTCATGAGCATTGCTCATGAAATATAGCTCACTCTTTGAGTTTGAGACTAAGAATGAACTCTGCTACTTATATTCCGATCAATCAATATATTCTGGTAAAATAACAAAGTCGTGGATATAAATTAGTATCTTATAAGAAAACTAAAATAATAATGTTCTGAATGTTTTCTTTCAATGTAAAAATAAATTGAATCATATGATAATAATAATAATAATAATAAAACTCTTTATTGTGCATAAATAAAATAAATAACTACAAAAAATTTCAAAAATAAAAAAGGATATATAGCCTTATCGCTTAAAGCAATCTCGTACAGACAACCAGGGAGATAGAAGCATTGGGTAAGGGAAAGGTAGGTGGCGCACTATAAAAAGTTAGATAGTATATGAATACTAAATACATATACATACAAATACTATATATATACATATAAATAAAATACATAAATAAAATATATAATTAGATACATGTCTAACAAAACGAAACATTACAGATAGATTTTTAATTAGAGAGAAAGTGAGTTTTTACTAGTTTTTTAAAAATGAAATGGGATTGGGCAAAGTAGCAAGGAGTTCCAAAGACGAATAGCCTGGACAGTGAAGGATAGGGAAAAGAAGTTAGTAGAATGAGGAGGGGTTACCAGACAAAGACGTCTCGTACTACGCAACAATATGATTTGAGTGGTATTAGATTTTTTCCAAGTATATCTATTATTATAATCGGAAACTCTATATAGTTATTATAAATTGATTTGAATTTATGTCTTCCACATTTTATTTTACCAGGTGTAATATTCTGTATACAAAAATATTTTTAACATTCTTAATAAAAAAAAATATAATAAAACTATAAAAGTATGTGTTAGATTTTAGTTCGGCTGCAGATTTATTTTCTGCAATTCGTCCCTCCAATATGTACATTTCTACTAGGAATATCGTCGATTTTCTAGTGAAAAATCCAAGTTGTATAGATTTGGTATACCTAAACGATTGAAATTAGTTTCGCTCGCTTATGTCAATCATGTGTCAACTCCACATATTTGGAATTTTTGAATAGCGATGCCGTTAGACTTGCTTAAAGGGGTTGATAACACTAACAAAATAAATTGATTGTTATATATTTTTTTAAAGATTGATTATATTTTCCTATCACCATTGATTGTTCTTGCTTTAAGTTTAGGTACTATTTTCTACATATAAATTTAAAGGATAAGTGACTATGTAAAAACTATTATTAATGGGACCTTATAAACGTAACTGAATACAGAACAACAAGTAATCGATTTGGTTGCGGTTTCGTTGTAAGCAGCACTTAAAAGTTTAGTGTTTGTTTTTTCCAATCGGTTTTCAAACAAAACATGTGCGAAGTTGGACACTCTGCTAGTTCTAAAATGAAGTGGTAACTACCGGCAGCAAGGCTGAAATACGGCACTGACAGCCATTGATTGCAGGGTTGTTACCGATTTATGGCTAGGTGACCATTTATAGGCGTCAATTGTTCGTCCACGTTCAACAGCCATTATTTTGAGTGATTGTATCGCCACCTCATGCATGCATTTTAGCGTAATAATATAATGGCTGTAACAGATATAGTAATTGAAGAACTGCAAGTCAATGGAATTTTTTATACTAATTCTATAATGAATACATATCAATAAATAATTACATATCATACAAAAAAAAACAATCATTTTAATCCAATGGCAACGGCATATTGAGGCAACATACAGGCAGCGTTGCCTTTTGAATAGCAATAGCCAAAGTAGCTACCAGCTCTTGGGTCATAAGTAACCTTGATTAGCCGCGCTGAAATACTCGACAAACACAATTTAGCTTACGAACTCCATGAGCCCAATGTCTCCACAGCAAATGGCAAACCCATAAGAGCCCTTCAGGTTCGAATGGTGAACAAGATCAAGAATAGCATTACGTTATTATCATGACAGTCGTGATAACACTCATGCATTGCCAAAGGACTAAGATGCTTTTATGCCGTAATTTCAACGTGTAATTTTAATAACTGAAACACGTCGCTTCGCATTTGAAATATTTGAGACTCAGGTACGCAGGTACACACAGATGACTTTTTATAGCTACCTCTGATAAAAAGATAGTTTGTATGATAGGTTTCGAAAAACAGACTAATTCATAATAAATATTTTACTATTTAAATCTTACTAATCTACTAGTATTATAAGCTTTTTGTTAAAGTTAAAGTTAATTAAGATATTTATATGTCTGAAGTCTGGTATGCTTTTATGATTAACCGGTCAAACGAATTAGAATGAAAGGTACATAACCTCAATTAACGTATGAAGACTCTATTTATCGTTTTGTATGCGAACACGGCCGCGATTTAGTCTAGTTACCTAATTTTCATACTTAATTTTGTACACAGTACATTTTAATTAACAATGTTTATATAAGCAGGTAAAAGGTTAAAAATACACACGTTAATAAAATTGCGGAAAGGTCGAGGTCTGTAGATACCGATATATTTTTTATATCTTCACCTGACTCCAAATTAAGGGTGTAGTAAGTTTGAATTTTCTTTCTCTCTTTCTGTCACTTCAGAGGGGTGAAATAGAAATAAGGATACGAATTCTTATAATTTGAGAGATAGATAAAATAATGCACGCATAGCGGATCAAATTCCAGACCGGTTGTAGAACTGGACATTGGACTGCACTCAATAAATGAATATTAGTCGTCCATTTATTTAACTCTGTACAGTGTCGTTGGTATAAACTGAATCGATAGAGTTGTTTTCTGACTAGTGTTTGCGCTTGTACATGAGTAGAATCTAGTCAAGATGAAATGTCATTTTATAACTTGCTAGCTAACGTACAACTCCCTCTGTTGTTACATTTCCCTCTTATTGCTATCCTACATTAAAAGAATTTTCAAAATCGTATAAGTAGTACTGAGGTAGACTTCAAATAAGAAATAAAGTTTGTGAGTTCAAAACTCACAAACTTTATTTATATTTATATATTAGTTTAAAGACAAGGTGATGAGATTGTGAGGATTTTTTTTATTGAAATGTTAACTAATACCTATTTAACATTATTACGACCTTTAGAAACATTGGTGATGAACTAGTAAAATATGCAAATGAAATATTACATTATGCGCCCATGGTTCAACAATGATATTGTCAAATTAGTTTATCTCAACAAGATGGACAATTTGTTTCAGTGTTCGTATATACCCACATTTATCGAGAAATTGTCTTAAGTCGGCCGGAAGTAGCTAAGAATACAAAAAAAATATTTTTATTTCCGGCCGACTTAACTCATAGTTTTTGAACTATTCTAATGCTGCTTTTTATGTCATTGTAATTTAGACAAGCTGAAGGTAAATCGTGACCTGTATATATGAATAGCTCTAAATGGTATTATGTGACACCCATGACACCTTTTGTGCGTTGCCAGCAACATATTGCCCAATATGCCCCCACACTTGAAACACTCGTTCCAAAGAAAACTGCTTGGCAGCTGAAATAGGTGAAACTGAGGTATCCATGCAGATGGCTTCTTGCATATCTGGTATATCTGGTAAGAAGATTACTGTTAGTTGCGGCGAGACTTCACAGCGGCAAAAGTTGAAAATGATGGCGAGTGCAGAGAACAAAGTCCGCGAAACGATTCATGGAACGGTTGAAAGCAAGCTCCTTGTTTTGGTGACCTACTACTGTGTCGTAATTATTTCGATTCTTAGTTGTAACAATGAAGTAATAATATTGTGAGATTATAACTTATTAGTCACAAATCTGTGTCTATTTAGACACAAGTTATAATGTTTGTCGGATTCGATCTAACCTCTGTGATCGATTAATCCAGACATTAAACTGGTAGATTTTGATGCTCTCTCAGAATTTATACTTTCATACTATCTCTACTAATATTATAATGTCTGTTACCATTTGTTAACTAAATAACTGAACGCATTTTAGTTAAAAATAAAGAGACTGTATAACGAGAATGGACACAGGCTATCTGTTATCTCACAAAATATTCTAATAAGGGATGAAACAGGGGATAAAAGTTTATACAAACGATGTCACGGGTAAGAATTAGTAAATAAATATATGCAAACATAGTTATTAATAGATACTGCTGGTGCATAATAAAACTATACGGCCGGCTCCGACGTGCGGACTCCATCCATTAAACGTTTTAATTATCTCTGATTGCTTTTGTTACTGCAGTAACCGTAAGTAAATATAGGATCCACTATTGTAATATCAATGTTATAAAATAGATATATCGTGCACAGTTAGTATCTACAACCTATACTAATTATCATTACATAGTATAAAACAAAGTCGCGGTCGCTGTCTGTCCGCACCGGATTTTGAAGCGTTTTTTTAATAGGATTTAAGAGGAAGATTTATATGTATAATACAGGTACACCCGGGCGAAGCCGGGGCGAGTAGCTAGTATATTATACGATCTATACAAATATAATTATAAAGTACAATTATTTCCATTTGTTGGTCTGTTACGTTTTCACGACTAAACAGCTCAACGGATCGGAAAATTGCTCATAATATGTATAATCCCATTTTAAACAAAGCAAATGAAGTTGTTGGTTGGAAGTGTGTTTGTCTGTCCATCGGTTTGTTAACTTACGTAGGCCAGATAGCAAAATAAATTTTATTGAAATATGTATGAACATATTGTTGATCAATATTTATATATAACTCACTGTATTATTACAGATTATGGAGGCATGATATTTTAGTCCCTCGGAATATCAACACATGAGTGTGCTATAGGCATCACGTGTTGAGTTTATATAATGTATATATATGAATATATTTTAAACTAGGTGACCCTCGCAACTTCGTCTGCGTCACATTTTCCCGGGTTTCGTATTTTTTTTATTGCAGCTCCACTCCTATTCCTCGTATTATGATTATGCTATGCGTTATATAGCGTATGCCACTCATAAATAACGTGGTTATCTAGTGGTAAAAGAATTTCCAAAATCAGTTAAATATATCCAGTGATTATCCCCTACAACGTCATAAACTTTCCTCTTAATAATATTAGTATAGATGATTAAGATATTTGACTTACCTCTAGAGGTTCCGGAGGGGCGTACAGCAATGCAGAGGGGATGTATGAAGGCGGAGGCGATCTGTTCTGCAAAGAGAGATACATCTGTGTAATAATCATCAGTAATTAAAATAATTACTATACTAATATAAATGTGAAACCGTATGTTGGTTTTGCTTTTCACCAATTAAATTCACCAGTTAAACCTCAGAACGGATTCTAATTAAATTGAACATTACGATCTGCTATACTAAAATAAGACTATATACGGAATATGGACTACATTATTATTTTATTATTATTTGTACACTATTTATTCACATATTGCTATATGATGGGTATTATTTATTGTACCTCTATCCACCACTCCATAGTACACATCCTCTCAGTCACTTAAAGGTCAACTGGAAGAAATCCCTTTATTGGGATAAGTCCTCCATTGTACCCACTAATTTTCTAAGTCATATGTATCCTTATAAAATTAAATTTGTAAAGAATCTTGTAAATAATCTGTATAATAAAGAATTACAAACATAATTACAAGGGTTGAAATTAGGGATGAAAGTTTGTGCAGATGATGACACGGGTAATAACTAGTATTTCTATATTTCTTCATACACATGTAAGGCTTAAGTGCGATTACTAATGGATTTTAATAAAATTAAAATGAAAGAACTTTATCAAGATAACCTACATTAATAATATAATATAGATTACAATAATCTCATTATTACATTGTCAGTATATTACACTAAAATTACCTTAAAATAATTTCAAAACATTTGTTAGATTATATTTATTGAGCAAAGCCTACACTAAAATATTACTTGAATGACAAAAGTGTATGGCAATAGTATTTCATGCACTGGAATTTCAGTTAATGTTTTAGTATTCGTTCTTTTATAAACTAGACTGGACTGCGTTACAATAGTAACTACATAAAATAAGTAATATATAGTACTAATATAAAAAAAGTAAAAATGGTCGTAACCCTTAATGCAGTATGGATGATCATCGACTCGACATTTACAGACATAGGGTTGATGACAAGTTTCCGATAAACCGACATAAGATGTAGGTCGGTTTCTCAAGTTTACTAATATAATAAAATTTTGCCGAGTCATAAAGATAGCCTTTCATTTCCACGATGGGCTCCCGAGAGAAATAATTTTCTTGCACACTGGCGTGTCCTCTTTCCACGCTATGAGCATATTACGTCTTCTAGGACAGTGGTCCTGAGGGATTGTGGCGTTGGTAACATATCCGATTATCTTTTCGCTTTAAATATTATTTAATTAAAGTCCAGACGGTATATGTATACATACATTATTAAATACACTATTACCCATACCGGGTGTTTTATAACAATATTATAAAAGTTCATCAGGGATAAGAATCCTTACAGAATTCATATTAAATTTGTATTTTAACTAGGAAACAAACTTCATCTAAATATTTATTTAGTGTTAAATATAATTAATTGCTGATTGAATCGAATATTCTGAGAATTTAAATTAATTCTACATATTCTACCACTCTAGAATAATGTACATATTATTATGTAAGTACTTCTCAAATACAGTCCGGCACAGGTCCAATTATAGTTAATAATCAGTATTTTAACAGAAATTAATTTTCGATATGAATTTTGCTGCTATTGTTTACTATTCTATTTATTGTTTTACATTATGCATATTACTTTAATGTAGAGTGTATTAAATGTGTTGTATTAACGGACCGTATTTTGGAACGTTATTGGTGTTTAAAAGTATAATTGGTAAATAGGCAGCACCGAGAATTCTTCATAATTTTAAGTTCCTCCATTTTTAGGAGTTCAGTTCTGGAAAGTGATAAAATAAGTATTTCATGAGTTGTAAAGTACTTAGGGTAACTTTCAAGTAAATATGACCGAAGAGGCAAAAAGCATTATTCCTTTATGAAAATTTTAACATCTTTCGTATCTACTCAACCGATTTTAAAAGAAGAAAATTTACTTCTTGTATATGTAAAATAAGGTATTCCCATTGAATATTTTTCATAACAGCTATATTCCCTTACAAAATATTGATATTTGGGCGTAAAATATTTTTTTTATACCGTTGTTATACCATTTTAGATTTTTTTTTTGTTGAAACGAGGACGTTTTAACCAAAATATCTCCTGCTTAAAGAACAAATTAATGTTATATTTATATGTTTTTTTAATTAACATTACAAAAAAGATATAAATATAACATAAACATTGTATTCTAAAGAGTTCGAGTAGTATTCCTTAAGATACTTACCTACATTAATATTATAAAGAAAGATTTGTTTTTCTTATCACGGCCAAACTCAGAAAGTTTAAAAATTAACTAACACCAACTAGATTTTAAAAATTATTTCACATATTTCCTATTGATAATGTAGGTAGGTACGTGTCTATAATATTTATATTATGAACAATATATATTTATAAATATATAAAATAATTATTCATTTTATTTGATTTTAATATTAAAACATTTAATAAATTATACTTAACCTTCAGCGACATAATTACATTAATTGTCACATTTATTTTTACAAATATAAGAGAAAAAATATGAAATGTAAAATAGTACCTAGATTAATAAATAATATCCTCCTGATATTACGCCATACACTTATTTTTTATAATAAATGAACCATATTAAAGGGAATGAGGTCCCATTGTACTGTTCATTAAATTCCCTCTGCTATAAATAGCGTTGACTTCAATTATCATAATCATTGTACGTAAATATATATAATAATAATAATCTCAGAACAATTCACACACCGCCATCTAGACACAAGTTAGCCAGTTAAGGCTTGTGTTATGGGTACTAGATAACTGATACCAATATACAGACTTATTTTAGTTTTTAGTAAATACATAAATAGAACATGAAAATGATTTTATGGTCCAGTTTTTTAATAGTCATTACTAGTAAAAATTGGTAATTGTAAATGATATATAGTCAAGCTTCACAAATTATAATAATACTAACAATAGATATAAACTATGTACTTCATTTTAGCTGGATTCGCAGTAAAAGCTAAGAATAGTATACTTTACAATATGATACTGGATAATATCGATATCACATAGGTTAAATTATATTTAGTAATACTTTTGGTGTCGAACATAGGATTGGCATAGGACAATTAAATATGATAAGTAACATGTATAATTACACCGTTAATATTTCTAAAATAAATAAATAAATATGCACAAATGATAGTATTGTTGCTATAACGCTAAATCTCCACACTAATATCAAAGTAACAGATCGAAAATTCATTGTTTTATTTACAAGAAGAGGAAACAGACAAATACGGAAAGCGAATTCATTTGATATTGTTAGACCTACAATGACAATCTCTGGTGTTTTTACATATTCTTTTATCCATATTTAAAATAGGAGTGTTCTTTATATCTATTGTTTTAATATGCACTTCTATTACTTTGCTCTGCTTTAGTAAACATATCTCTTTTTATCTTTTATTATTGCTGATATTATTAGAGATAGAAAAATGCAGTTGAATTAGGAACCTTCACTTTTTGAAGTTCGTTATTGTTAGTTAAACATTACATCCCTTAAAAAAGAAATTAACGAAAATTAATACTTGTTATTCGCTACTAGATCACTTTAAAGAATATTGAGGATTTATTAAAAATTATTTAGTGAATTTTAAAGTGAAAGATATAGAAAAGTCTGCAACTCGACTTTATGATTGATTGAATGATTTGATGAAAAACACACATTATTTGAAAGTTTAAAGTTTTTATTCTCTAACTATAGTTTACAGAGTGTGATGCTGTATTTTACAATAAACATTTCGAAACAGAATACAAACTGTAGATTTTCGTATTACCCCTGACCGTCAAAGTCCTTTGGGAAATTAATTCTCTTCATGGATCCGTAACCAATTTTAATTACTTGAAAATTTTATAGTAATAATTGAATATTATTACATTTTGCTAAAGGTATAATTGACAATGAATGTAAACTATGATAAAATATATCTTGTTATGTATATATATATATATACAATACGTTTCAACAAAAAATGTTATCCATTTTTTACGTCTGTCAAATGATATCTGCACTAAATCCGCACCGATTTTTATTATTCTTTTTGCAAACGTTAAATATTAACTACTATATTGGCCTCAATCTATTAATTTAAGATTCTGAAACTGGTTTTTGATATGACATCTAAACTATCTTTGGCGGTAACTGAAACAAAGTTAACTATAGAAACTGATATGACCCTTGTCTTCAGGGAAATTAATTCCAGTCATGGATGCGTAACGAATTTTAACCACGTGAAAATAGTAATTGTGATTAATTGAAAATTGTTAACAGCCGATTGAGTGTGAAAAATTATTCATCACGAGTTCGGTACATTATTTACGTTCAAACTTACTTACATTTTTCTTACTTTATTATAATAATTAGACGTTGTATTTTATTATTTCAATCATTAATATTGGTTTAGCACACCAATATTTACTTTCGATGATTGCGGGTTTGATTCACCGCATGGTGCAAACATTTGTATTTATGAGCATGATTGTTTGTATCGGTCTGGGTGTATTCTATGTATCTTATGCTTATATTTACAAAAAAATCTAAGTATTTATATTAGTTATCAGCCCTGCTTACCGTGGGACTAGATGGCGCTGTGTTAATTGTCGAGGGTTACTTATTTATTATTATTTACACTTAATTATAAATTATTACACAATGCGCATTTTTAATTAAACGAAAATAATACTTGGTTTATATACAATATCAATACTTTACGGGGCGGTCAGATTTCACGAATAATCGATAAATGTTTCCGAGTAAGTTTTAAGTGGTAATGCAATATGCATTGTCTCTAAATATTCCTACACAAGTCTGCTAATTTCAACTGAACTACAAAACAGTTGAAAATTTAATATACATAAATATTTAAATACATTGTAAGTTTGTTATAAATAAAGGTTTAGCAAAAGTTGCCGAATTAACAATTTAAAATTATAGTCGCGATATTTTAGTCCTTAGTAATCTCAATGGGCATACAGGTATTTCATGA